TGCAAAAAAGTTGTCTTTAGTAAGGCCCTAGAAAAAAGTTGCTCACGCCTTTTTATGACATCCAATTGTATTTCCTTATAAATCTGCCAAACCTCTTGAGGCATCTAGGTATAAATTTGTAGCTAGACCTATGGTTGATTGACATTTAAAATTGCAGCTTGCGATGGCAAATACGACTAAAACAATAGTTACTATCTTTAGACATGGCTCTGGTTACTCATGAGAAAATTTATTGTGAAACATGCAATTATAATTGGCATTAAGCCGATGCATAGAAGTTGCATTTTACGAATGAACAGGTAAATATTTTCTTAAGGCTTGTTATTAGAAACTATTTTGTAAAAGCCATTTTATTACTACTGTAACATAACCACATCATTATAGGCACCTAAGCGCGGCTTGTGACGCCTCATCTAGGGCAAGTCAGCAAATAGCTTGTGTTAGTGAGCACTGGGAAGTGGCCGAGGTTTGTGAGGCTAATGTCTGAAAAGTCAGCACATGCATCCACTCTTTAAGATACTCCTCTTTTTAACTTAATCGCAGAATCACCTATTAAGCCAAGTTTATTTGCCAGGTGAAAGACTAACTTCGGAAAACGCATCCATACAGAAGGGAATCTTGTGGGTCAAACAAACTTAACGAGGGCGCCAAATGTGTGCAGTTCTACTTAAACAACATTTTCTCATTCTTACCCCACAGAGCACACGTTTGATCAAAATACCTTTCAAAATATAGTATTTGTAGCCGCTTAAAGTGTACTGCACAGTTGGAGTATGGTGCTTCATTTTTTTTGCAAACACGAACCCTACGCCTTCGTGTTTCCTGTCAGTGTAACCTTATGTGAGTTTACACCTGAAGTGCATCTTCTACCAATCATATCCATTGTGTTATGCCAGTGTAACCTCTACGTCGTGGAAATAAACAAATGTTTTACGTTTTTTTAGAATTATCTCAGGAAAAATGTTGAAAACGAACAAAAAGACAGCCACATTTTTTAGCATTTTGGATGGTTGGATGTGAAGACTAAGTAGATACCTCTCGTTAAGCGTTTCACCACGAGGCTGAAGCCAAAATGGGACTGTTCCTAGGAAGGACGTCATCTCGCTTTGAAATGAAGTTAATTAGTTTCCCCCTCGATATTGCCCTTTCCAAAGTATATATTGCACATTTCGTGCTCGCGACCTTGCCAGTTTGTTTTAGTGCATAAAGTTGACCACTCACTGGCACAAAAATGTCCTCACAACAAAGGCAATTTTCTTCTACTTTTACAAAAAATCAGCATTTAAGTGACAGCCCCTGCTAAATTAAGAATTACAGAACCAACAGTCGTTTCACTGTGCGGTACCCTCAATTTGAAATATTTGCCATGATGTAATTCACATCACTTAATCAGCTGCGCACCAGGTGTTGTGGTCATGACAACATCTGCGCAAATTAGCCAAATCCGTGTTCCTTTTTATTAACAAAGACGAGCGTGAAAATTTTTGTTTTGTTTTTTTAACAAAATCACGCGAATCCGACATGTTGAAAGTATGTTTAAAGGCGTTTTTGCCTGTTAAATTAGAGATCTGAGGATTTAAATGCTACCACGAAATATCAACCACTGTCACTAATAGGTGTAGCGAATTAGGGCACTTGGAAGACCTATTTCTCTAGAGTTTTTTTTTAAATTCTACAATTTTTCAAACACTCGGCTGTACTTTAAATCAAGCGTCACCAAAGCATTCGGCAAATAGGCTTCTCACAATAATTAAAATGCATGTTTCCGAGTACATTTTAATTTTCCGTTACTCTTGGTAACATTGGGTGCACATTTAAGGCTTACTGAACTAAAAAAAATGCTTTTGGTAAACATCCAATTACAAATCCATGTCTCTCATAGGCAGTAAAAATAAACACAAATAGCACAGGAATGCGTAAAAACGGGCTCATTCTAAATCCAACTTAATGAAGATTGTCAGCATTCTTTCCCAGAGAAGGACACAATTTCCTGAGATACTTATCAGAGTTATGGACCGTGATCACCATTGTTGAGGTATTACTCACTCTACATTACTTATAGGTTTGCAATAACGTGTCCTTCCTACAATTAATAGTCATGTGGCGCAGTTATGTAGGCGTCACAGACATCGGCATTTCTAATGGCAATTAAAATAACCAACCATTTATTAAGCAGAAAGAATCAGTTGTGATCAGTGGAAAAAACTGTGATAAAGTTCAACCACAAGTCCAAATAAGTGAACAGAAATTCCCAAAGCATCGGCTGGCGCCATAATGAATTGAAGGTTCTCATGTCGATAGAGTCCACCTGCCACACAGTAGGCCAGTCCCGTGAGCAGCGGGAACCACTGCGAAGCGTATTTTCTGGAATTTGCTCGTAGAGCAGTCATGACGGGGCCAAAGGGGATAAAGTTTTGTGTCACAACAATGCAAAACTGAATAATTACTAGAAATTCATTTAGATTTGTGACTTCAAACATTTCCTTGTGGACTGTGTACATGAAAGCAGAATATAACACTAAAAACGTGGTAGCCGCAATCACCTGATGTCTATCCTTTACATAAAGCAGGCATGCAGCTAGATAAAGAGCATTTGCTGCGTAGAGGGATGAAAATGTCTCCACAAGAAGAGACCCACCTTCATCTGCATGGAGACTTAGAATGACTTGAAGCAATGACGCCATGGCACCCGTCAGATAGCTTACGACAGTGATATTGGAAACAAATCTGGTCCGCATTATGATTGCACATTCAAACAATCCCAGAGATGTGTACAAAATCGCTGCAATAATGTAAGCAAATTCGGTTGATATGGTTGCGTTTTTTAAAAAACTGGCAAAATAGTCCAATGCTGGCAGAAAGTCCGTGGTATTCAGGAAATCCATTAGGTCCTCCCCTTTGGAACTTGAGGTTGAATTTACAAAATGTGGAGCTTATTGATTTTTTTCCAGCACGTGATCATATTTGAATTGGACTCAACTGCGCAGAGCCAATGGGACAGGAAATTTGATTCAGTTTTTTCGCATACAATAATTCTCATATTTCTAAACCAGTTAACTGCAAATGCTCATCTATGTTATGAAAATTTAACATATCGGCTTGGTGAAAAATGGATCAAAATGCAGACATTTGATCATTGTCCTCAATGTGACGTGTGTTGCGCGCTTGGATTGGATGAATTGTGTGCAGTTAAACAAAAAAATAGATTTTGTCCCATTCTTAAACTAACCCTATCTAATTAAGGGCCAAGTAGCACTTTACGATTAAGTACCTCTTTAATAGCGAGAATATGAGAAAAAAACAGAACAAACTTGCAATTAGCCAAAAACGTTCATTTAATGTCAATATTCTCACTGGCACTTTTAGCAAACATCTGGTTACTTTGAAATTTTGTGCAATTTAGTCTTGGCTCTTTAGTACAAAAATTGGTTACACTTGTAGTGATGTCAGTTTGTGCCCTTCGCCTGTAAAGATCCAAATGTATTTGATTTTAGATTATTAAAATAGAGAAGCATTTGAGAAAAATATATAGAAACGAAACAACTCATACCCTTGTCCACAATGTGCATTGTTTTACCATTATCTTTCAAATAGATTTCGAATTTTGAACTATTTAGCGTTGCAAATTAAACAGATTATCATTGGTCTCCGTGAGATTTCGTGAAATGTCGAAATGAGCATATAGATTAAAAATTTATGCACAGTAGAACTGACCGGGCGATAGATGTTAAACTTGCAAAAAAATTTGACAACTACCCTTCTTAAGCCATACACAATGCTTAAATTAATTTTTGCATTTTTGTGCAATTTAAAACCACAAAATGAAGTAAGCTTGAGTTGCTGAACTGTAAAGGATTTTTATACTTTTTTAAATGCGAGTTATTAGAGTTTTTGAGAAAACTGTGGAATTATAGAATTCGGAAGATTAGCTTTTATGACTTTTACTTCTTTTTGCAACAATAATAAATAAATGAAAATCGTTCCGATTTGAATAATCCAGTCTGATCAAATCGGAAAATAACTGAACTAAATGCCTAATTTTTTGGGGTACAATCCCAGCGAGTTATGATTGATATAGCCTCGAAGGTGTTGAATAAATTTGAGCAGTTTTTAGGGGTTAAGGATTCACACATATAAAAAAGCTAGTGCTGTTCTTTACACTGACATCAACGCTGAACATCAAAAAACGGTCATTCCGTGTAACTTGTACAGTTTTTACCGCAATTACACATTATTTAAATTTCTTTCTCGGTTTGCTGCAAAGAAGTTTTCAATTCTTGTCATTTTCGATTATTCCACACACAGATTTTACGCAGTAATTTTGTGTTGTAATGAAAAACCGCCAAAGCCTGTAAACAAATTATCCGAGTTCGTTTGCATAGGAACGAGGATTTAATTGAAAACAAAGCGAAAAATGAAAAAAAATGTGAGGGGTTCAGTTAAAAAGTATCAGGGGACACGTTTTTAATGGATGTTGCCTAAACTGCTTTACCAAACACACACAAACAAACCCACGCGTGATGTTGGTGATATTTTTGGATTTAAGTCACAGGCATATTTGTCCAGTAAATATATGAAATTATTTTAACCCGTAATTTTAGCAATCGCTTTCAAAGTAGCCCATTATTTTGAGGTAATTTTAAATAGCTGTTGGTCACAAAAATTAAGCTTAAATTAAACAATGTAAAACTCTCGTTTGCATACAAGAATATGCATTGTGATTTATCAGGTCGCAGTTTCGTTTTGCTGAATTTATGCTTGATCTAATTGTTTTTTTTTTCAAAAATAAAAGTCAAACAATTTTTAACGTCAGCGTTTAAATGTGGATCACCAAAGGTTACCAACTTCTTGAATATAATGGTTTTTTTGTTTTTTTTTCGATAATTTAGTTTATCTTGTTTGATTCAATTAACAAAAACATTATATTTTGGAAAACCGTCGAAAATGCAGGCACGAAAACTTGGAAACCGAAGAAAAGTTGCTACAAAAAGTGCAGAAGCTCACTTTTTTTTCCGCGGACCACCAACTCCAGCAGATTTCAGTTCCACTTCGTTCATCGAAGATTCGTGGGAGTCTTTGATGAAATTGCAGGCCACCGCGGCGTGTTCGAGTGAATCAGGGGGAGAATCCGCACACTGAGAAGTTTCCTTGACGCTCACTGGCCAGGGGTCCTCTTTGTTCTCCTGTTGTGTGAAATTACAAAGTGTTACTTTCGTTCACACACCTCGTATACCGCGTGTTTAATGAACATATGTGAATACGTTTGAAGACAAATCTACCTAAAACTGCATTAAGCATGGAGAATTAAATGTAAGTTTAATTTTAACCTTGTACATAGTTGAAAAATGAAATGTTTTGTTAAGATATTATTGCCGATTGATAAAATGAATTGGTGTAAAGTTTCCAAACAAACACACTTTAGCACTAATCATGTGCATTTGTAGAGTTTGCAATAAATGCCCGTTGTTTGCATTTGTATTTAATATCCTAGGCTCTGACTCCTCAGCTAACACTCTCGAGAATTCAAATGCACATCACTTTTTATTTCACGCTTGTTCTTCCTGACTGACAATTTTCAACACATTCTTGCAGCCATTACATATATTAGCCTCTTTGAATTACAAAAGAACTTAAAAAACTGTAAAATAAATAGGGTTATGGTAATGTTTAAAGTTTTGGAAATTTCCTTTGTCTGAAACAGATATCAAGGCCCCGAGAAGATGATGATATTTTGTTAACACAACGCTCAACTTAGACTATGGAACCGCTGAAACACCTCATGCAAAAAGGCGTTAAAGATTTAGTTTTATCGATTTTTTTAGTTACCACAGGAAGTTTGCTGGTAAGCACCTTTGTTCTTGGTCTTATACCTTTTTGCTTTAGTTTGGCAAGTTTGAGACAGTGAAGACTGTAGAAAACAGCATGGCCTAGGGTCAACAACTCAGAGGTCAAAATGCTGTTTTTATCCCTCTAAATAGAGACCATGTCACCGAACATCTTACAATGAGTCTGTGCAATAAGTTTACGGTGTATTTCTCTTTGATGGAAGCAGATTGTCAGCAAACAATGTTTCCGCGATCATTTAAATTAAGAGGTCAATGGCGTTGTGTTAAGAGTTCAGATACTATGCGCAGCAGTGTTGTAATTTTGCAGTGTCCGCCTTCTGTGTTTCTGAAGTGCCGAAGTTCATTATGGCATCTGGAATCCCACAAGGCTCCGATTTGATGGGAAATGCCCCTTTGTTGCCTCGTTAATCCGGAGCCGTCGGACTATGACCTTCCTTTATTAAATTCTTGAAATTATCTACGTCCGAGAATCAAAAGTATTTACGCGTTCTAGTTGTTAGGATCAAATCTAGTAAGTGTACACTAACTTAACCCTTTCTGCTTCAAATGGCAGTTAGTCTCTTGGCTTCAATAAGGCATTGCCACGCGTGAGGTTGACAATGGGCAAAAATGCAGGGCACTGTATCTTGGATGAGAACTGACAACATTTTTGAAACAGCCTAATTTAACGTGCATACCAAAAGTATAAACCAGGAAACCAGAACTACATTGAAATTCTGCGCAATGCCATTTGGGAATCTAGGTGTAAACATAAGCTTCTGGAAAGCAAAAATACTGTATTAATCTGCTTAGGAAATGAATGTCTACATCAACCAAAGCAGTTGGCACCTATTGTTTCCTGTTATTTTTACACCACTAAAAACTAATACACGCAATCTAATGCATGCCATGGTCATTATTTCCGACGCAGGCGTAAACAGCAACAAAAGCTAATTGCAACGAGAAAAATTGTCAATAAGTTTGTTTACATTTTTGCTTCATTTTCGCATTATACTTAGAGCATTTAGAGTAAAGCTGACGGCACTAGCTTATACCTTGTTTAAGTAGTTAATTCTGTTTACAATTTTTCTACCGTCTAAGGGCCGAACATAATTTAAAAAATGCATTTGACGACTTGCTTTTTTGCTAAAAGTTTCTGCTTTATTGAGCTCCGAAGAGTAAACCAAAGTCACTTATAATTGTTGTGTCGGTGATTATATCCTGGCTTTATTTGCCACACATCAACTAAGCCTCCTGAGTGCGCGCTATGCCTTAGAAGTAGCCAGGACCTTCCTAAACGTCGAGTACTGGGTTTCCTTAAAGTCAGATGACTTGTCACACAAGAACAGTAAGGATTTGGATCCTAGTTGCCAAGGTTCACCACAGTTGTGCGTTGTTAAACAAGCTACTCCATAATTAATTAGCTTATTCCTTCACTTAGTATACCCCGTGGCAGATGAAACCCATGTATTTTTTCAAAAAGAGTATTTTTTGTACTTACTAACAGATGTATTTTGTCTTCCCAGAGCAAAGCTGGTCACAATCTCACAGCTTATTATTTCAAGCCGTGGCCCACGTCTACAAACAGGCATCAGTGAGCAAGACTTCCGCATTTGTGTTTGAGAATTTGCCTAGTGCATTGCACGTAAAAATGAGCAATCAGGGTCTTTTGAAGACTGGATCTTGATCTCGATAAAACAACTCTTTTCATGACAATGAAGGGTGCAAAGAAACGATCTTTGCTGACCTTATCAGTGTTTCAGCTTAACTTTCAAATCTTGTCGCGAATTGACAACATTGGAACATTTTAGTCTGGGTTTCACTGTTGAAGGGATCGGAGGATGAAAGATTTGCCACAGGGAGCAGCTAAAAATATTTTTGAAAGTTAAAAATGCATTACATGGCCACGCGTTTATCGATACACGTGGTAATGTTTGCAAAATAATATTTTGACATACCGACCAATGGAACACTAAATGACTGGTGTTTGCTTAGCATTATTATTGTCTTGTATTTTGGTGCATGTTAACAGTACGCTATCCGTTACTTAATCGGGTTTTGCGAAATCAGCCAAAAGTACAATACCAGCATATTGCTATTTTTAGGCTTATACATTAGGGACATGGTTATTTGCATTATGCATCGAAGATTAATGCTGGCTTACTTGTTCATGTTGCCTAAAACCCTGATTCTTATGACGAGTTCATGAAACATTCCGTAACCAACGCGCCTTTAAGTTGAGGTCTAAAAATAAGTCTGGTTTGTCCAAAAATGTTTCAAAAATAATGTGTATTTTTTTCAATTATTGGTTTAATTAAAATTGAATAACATGAAAGTAAAAAGTGACCCCAAGACAACTTTATATTTGCGCACATTTTCTACGTCCCTGTTAGTTAATTCTCTGGGCAATTGTTCAACAACAAACAGATAATCTAGAAAAACCCGCTGCAGAAGCAATTTACTAAATTTAGACTGAAAACTAGCAATATAAATTATTAAGAATAAAACCAATCAACTGAATTTTTTTCAGGGTGTTTGTGTTTAAAAATAGAAACTGACTACACGCTCGTAAAGCATTACTGCAACTCGGACCACAGTAAGCCAGATGTTTTTTTGTGCCACAATGCTTCTGACACACAGATATTCAGATTTCCTTTGAAAAATATCAGGTACCCGCCTGAGAGTTTTAATAAAAATTGGGCTTTACTCGATTTTTATAAAGCAATCATACTAATTTTAAAAATAAAAAAGTGTTTTTTGACCCCAACAGCTACTTTGAGGTTTCATATTGTCAAAGTATGTGCAGTTATATACTTGTTGGCATTGTCAGAGGTTCTTCCTACTTTCGTCATGGGGATTAGGCAAAGAGAACTACACTTATCAGATATAATGCTTTGCAGTACCTTTGATTTTTTGCGACAGTTCTAAGATTGCAGACTAAGAACTATCTAAACAGCATCTAACAAGTCGCCTAAGCAGACCAGTTTCCTAAATTCGAGTGAATCTGTTGACTCGAAATATCTCACAGTAAGAGTGCTGTGATACTCTTGTGCAAAACGTGAACCAGTACTCGAGTCCTGCAAAATTAACTTTATTTAAAAAAAACGCTTTAAGCATATTGTTTTCCATTCTAATGCATTCGAGGAAATGCTCTGAGCCATTTATAATAGCTTCAAATGATATCAAGAACTATTTTTCTACGTAATGTTTTACTCAGGTTATCTTTACCGTACTATGCAAAAGCTCAAAAATTAGCAACAGTGACTTGCTCAAATTAAACCAGCTTTTCACTTTTACAATCAAACCACTCAATTCTACGTTTGAGAGCACTTTTAACTTAAACAGAAAGCCTGTTCTGTGTATTATAATTGCGCCGTAGTTCTACTGCTGAGCAAGCATTTTATTAACCCTGGTTTCAATCATGAATCCCCGAAGACCTGTAAAGAGCGTTGGACTCTGGGTGTACGGGTGAACACGGATATGTGCTCTGCATTGCAAGTAGATTGCGGATTTTAACATTTGTCCTTCGTAACTGCATTGAACGAACAACTCGACTAGGAACCATAAAACGCAGCACACATATTTGCCAACTATATCAGAACATGGTTTAAATTAGTACTCCGCTCGAAATTGACCACAAGGAGTGAGGCTAAATTTGACACCATGTACTCAGTGTAAGTTGAGCACAGCATTGGTGGAACATCATTGCGTAAAATGCAATTTGCTCAAAATTCCTTAGCGCCGATAAAACGCGGTTGTAGAGGGTGCGAAAGCACTGTGCCTGATGTCTTCCTTGACAAACCGTTTCAACCACCTCCGGTCGCATTTTCAGGAAGGTTATAAAAGCAATCTAGGCTTTCTAATTTTTGTTAGCAATTGCAAATGACTGAGCTCGCTTAATGAACCCCATCAGAGGGATCTGCCAAGATGCCATCGGTTGATGCGTGTCAATTATAACAGGAATTTTAAGAATCCACGTTTGTTGAATCAATGTAGATGACCGCTCGACACCCCAACTCTGACACATTTCAACACGACACTTTCAACTAGACCTAAGGTTTTTGTTTAATACCTTCCAAATTTACAGTCTTTAATCAAACGGATCTGGTGTGTACCGGTGGCTGTGAGAAAAGCACGTCTTGTTTAAATATTTTTTTGTTTAATTTGGGAACATGTTGGTCCAAAAGAAAGCGTTTTACAGCACCTCGAATTTCTTCCCAGCGTTAATCCTAAAGTAAAAATTAAAAATGCTTGCACAAATTGCCGAAATCTCCTTGGAATCAGAGGCACTTCACAGCCAATTTCCAGTTGCACTACATGGAGTGAAAACTTAAGTGTTTGCTTTCAACTTGCACTTAGTCTCAGTCGTTTGCTTAATAGATTAACGCTAGTTTGTTTGTCATTTGTCTATTGTTACAAAAGCTTTCAAGAATTGTTCTACACTAAAGGTTTAAAACTGAACAGCCATATAAACCTCAGTTTTCGTAAGGCCCGTCTTAAAATTACTAATGCATATCAGGTTTTGAGGTTTTGAATGCAACCTAGCCACTTGAATGTAGCCGTTAATAAGTTCCTAATTTAGCCACTCCGCTAACAAATGCTTATTTTAACTTCGTGAAATATCTTTCAAATTCACATATCATCCACAAACCCTCATAATTTAGCACAACTGGACGGCTTTGAACCATCATAAGTTGATTTCAAGAAACTTTCAATGCACATATTTCAGGCAAACATCTGGGCACTAACCAGTACGCTCTTTGGTTTGGGTGTAAAGGTACAACACACAAAAGCACCTGTATTCTTGTTACCTCGCTAGCCTTAATGACACATTTAAATGGGTTGTGTTAGTTGGTAGGTAATATAGCAGCGGTAACAGTACAAATGTGATTATTAAGATCCACAAGCCGTCTATGTTCCTGTTACGCAAATGTAACAATTGTTCTGAAATGAACTGGAGATGGGTTATTTGGACTGTACTCACGCAGACTGCCTGACGTAATATGTAGATCAAGATATGATGGGTTTTTTTCAAAGACAGCCGGAAAATCTGTCTTTTTTAATTTAGCGGTATCGACGCCGGAGTAAAGAGCTTAACTGAAACCTCAAACGCGATGCTTCGCAATAGACTGCATTCATCAGTTGTCATCGGAATTTTGATGCCACAAAATAAACTAGTGTAGCGAGTTACTGCAACTCTACTGCATTTAACGATAGACACCAATAAAAGTATACACGTCGAGAAAGCAGGTGCATGAGAAGGTTATATTTTTGGGCAAACCTAGGGTATAGTGAATCCACAAATTAGTAAAGAAAGAGAAAAAGGTGTACATTGTCAACTAGCAGCAACCGTCTTGAGGACTTTCATGGCTCTGGTTAGAATTAATAAACCAAAAGAAAAGTTTGTCTCCAGGCTCAATTTTGACGATTTGCATGTTAAAATTGATGAGAAATTTACTGGCAAACCATTCTGTGTTCAACTCGAATGAATGTCCTTGTCTGTTTGGTTTTATATTACGTTTTTCAGACGGAGCGTGAAGATAAACGCACTCTAAGACGCTACATAAAGCACTCTATCGTATGGAAATAGCAAAGAATAATAAAAACATCTTCAAAGTTGAACAAATAACTTCTATTCGAAAAGACCTATTTTAGCCTGAGTTTTTTAGTAAATTTATTTCTGTGTTTATCTCTGTTTGAGCAAATTTTCCACAAAATCAATTCTATAATCGGCGCAGTTTATGTGAGACCATTTGTGCTTGGTTTCATCCACATAGCCCACTAAGTTAGAAGTTATAAACAAGAAGCGTTTTGACCTACAAGCACTTATCGGTCATTTCACTTATATAAAAAAAACATTCCTGTCTTATTAACTGTTTTTATCGCACACCAAGCAAGGTGATGGTTTATTATTCCTGCTTTTACTAAAGTGAGAACTTATTAATAAACGTCGACCCGTGGGCAGTTGAAGGAAAATCACATTAACTCACTGCAGGCGAATCTTTGTTCAGCCTCTTTGTGTCGACTTGAATCGCGGCGGCAGCATTCCTGGCCTTTTGTTCGTGCAGTGCATTCAGTTGAAGCCGAATCAGCTTTACCCATCCCATCCTTTTAACACTCACAGGCTTATGGTGCGTTGAGTCTCGAGGTAGCTTCCCGGGAACTGTCAAGGTGCTTTCAGATGTGGAAGACGGCCCCGAAGAATGCGTATCATCCGGCTCCAAAATATCCAACTCTGAAGCCACCCTTGACTGACCGGACAGCAGAAACGCCGGCTTTAGGAGCTGATTTTGTGTCGTCACGCGCTCTGGGGAACTGTCATAGCAGGACATGGGACTCACTGACCTGGGTTCCTTGGCTACATCAATTGGGACTTGTACCTCAGGCAAATTGGGACTTGAAGATGTCATTTCGCCATTGGTATCTGCTCGTGCATAATTTCGAGGGCTGTTTGCTGTTTGTGTGTGTCAATAAAGTAAAACAGATATTTGTACGCTAAACACAGGTTCTACGCATATGTGCGCGCGTGCGTGTATTCCGCCTCACTTTATTGGTTACCTGGCGGTGGAACAGAGGTCTGCCTATTGGCCGTTTTGCAATCATATTTGTCACAGGCGTCAAGATGGAACAATAAAACGGTAATCTTTGTTGTCAGTCGGTTTTTCTACAAATGGGTCTGCATTGTGGGACCCTTGCACATTGACAAAGCTTCAAACAGTAGGATTGACACACATAATAAAGAAATGATAAAAGGACTTTTAAAAACTTGTCTGGCATCAATCGCAACATGACAGTAGCACAAGATCCGAGTACTGGCGGTTTCAGTTGTGAATATAACTACTCATCAGACGGCAGTTAGCCAATAACAATGCATAACAAATAATGAATCATGTGATTTCAAGGTAGGACGCATGCAAATTAACTACATGGCGCAAATTTGAATCCCGTTAATTCAAATAAAACCATTTTTTCCGCAAATGACCTGTGAGGGCAAAGTTTAAATGGTCTCTTCATCTGACACAAAAAATTGTTTGTTATGCAAACTACAAACACGCTGGCCTATAAATTTCGTGTCACTTCTGCTTAAATGTTGTAGACGCTGTCCTAGCATTGAGTTACCTTCTTAGGGCAAGTAACCATGGCGAAACGTTTTGACGCATTTTAAATTTTAAAACCAGAAACCATTATATTGCAGTTAACGGCGAAAACCCTTCCTGTCATAAATTCCACTGCCTAGCAGTGGCATTTGCGCACTTGTATTTCTCTATTTTATAGCCCCAAAGTGCGTTGGAATTGCAATTTTGCGACAGCAAATGTCAAATTAAAACGAACTAACTTATTATTTTCTGAAAATTTTTCTTATAATTCGTGTAATTAGAAATATCTTTCAACAACAACAATTAAACTCATGACTATCATATTTTTCTGGGACTGTCAGTGCTGTTTTCAAAGTATCGTTTCCATCGAGATGGAAAAATATTTGTCACTTTCAGATACATGTTTAATTTGGTTTATGAAAAAAGAAAAATTTAATTGAATTTAAAAAAAAATTTAGGTGAAAAGTGTGTGCTCTTTAATAACAGAAATAGACTTTTTTTGTTGAAATATCATGTTTGGTGCCAATTAAATTTTCAAGGTATGGTTAGAATAGCGGATTTTGTTGTGTTCATGATATGGTCATAGTGATGAAAATTGAACAAAATAAGGTTTTCAGAATAAGCAATGCATTTCCTACTATTTTGCACAAGAATACTTTGACCACATGTCGACAAAATTCGAAGTTTTAATGCAGTGGATTTTTCTTATGCACTTGAACCACAGGGAAAGTTAACACCGGAATTTTGAACATGAGCTCACACACCTAATGCATGTACAGTTGAAAACACTACGCACTTAAGACCTCAGAAGTAACACCGTGAATTGCAACCACTAACACGGTCGTCGCATTCTTCGACACACTGTCCCCCTTCCTTTATCGCAGCGGGCTGGCCAGCCATGCGGGACCGCACGCCCGGCCACACACACCGGTGCACGCACCGACTCCGCCACGCTCTTCACTCATCCGATCATTCGCTTGTTTGCACTTTTACAAGTTCGCCCAGGCTGTGAACACACACACACAGGGCGCCACGTCACCGGGTTAAACTCTCAACTCGACGGCTGTCTCCGCCTTCCTCGGTCGTCTTAATCCCTCTAGTAATTGGGTCAAAGTCAACGCAGCGACCCCGGCGTGGGTCACGACCACCCACTGGAATCTGCGCCAACAACAAGAACGAATGTATATACTACTGCCTAGGTATGAGTTTCTAACATCTGTAGTTTGGTTTCATGTAATTTTTGCATTTTAAAAACTTATGTTTTCCAGCAACAATTGTGCAAATCGTAAAATTCAAATAAGGTTTCTTTTCTGAGTTCACTTGGCGTTGCTGGTGGAATTTTTAACTAAGCAAATAAAAAGTAATTAATGCGTCTACCACAGTGAATTTATCGAGTTAATTTTAGTTAAGAATTTTTAAACTAAAAATTAATTTTGTCCTAAAAATTAACAGTTCCATTAAATTTTAATTGAATAAGTATTAATGTAGTTGGCAAAGTGAGCCTGTGACTTATGGAGTTTAATGCAGATTTTAATGAAATTAGCGAAGTGAGTTGGTGCACTTGTAGGCAAGCGGCGAGTAAGTCTGCAGCAAGCATTTTATGTTCAAATTAAGAAGTCAAAAGATTTAGCATTTTTGATTTAAAGCAATTAAACGACCTGCATTTGGATTTTGGGAGCTGAATGACCTTTATTAAGGTAGCTAGACGTGTTATAGATACACGTATCTTTGGAACCAGTATAATTGACGTTTTGGTTAATGCTTAACATCAGTTGGTTAATTTTGGCCTTTAAGCTTCTTTGGGAAAGTTGCCTACCGGAGAGCTACCTATTGTGTAGTTTCTGCATTCATTTTCAACGAAGCTTCTGAAATTTGGAGACCAAAAATTACGCTACTAGCGACTTTAAAAAAATAACAACATCCAGTTATATGATTCTCTTGACTCAAAAAATGTCAATTTTTTTCCAAAGTGATAACGTTATTTGTCTCGCCTCTCTAATTAAAATGGTTGCGTAAGTTGAGTCACTGCTTTGAGAAATGTAATTAAATTAAGCAAAAATACGCCACCACCATTACCACCTAATATATACCTCAGTCATTCTGCGCGTGCATGTTTAAAAAACACTGAATTTTTCATTAACATTCTAAAAGATGATTGTTAGGGGTTTGTTAATACTCAGAGATTAGGGGTTTGGTATTGTTTTAGCGCATTCACTAACGCAGGAGGCAATAAATGCATGCCCTCAGAAAAAAACCCCATGAATTATGAGCTCTACCGCAGTCATGAGCTTAAAAAGGGTGAGTACAAACATGAACATACTATGACTTCAGCTAGGGTGTTTGCATCTATCATGCAGTTGACCAGTTTATGCAATGCGATTCTCTTTTTATCACCATCACTAATTCGAAATTAAGTTTAAATATCGAATATCCCCTTTTAATAGCTGTTGCACCTCTTTATTGGCTTATTTTAAATTACGTTTAGGCAGTTTTTGCACTAGCAGTCGACCACTTTAATTTAAACTTCGTGAGCAAATCACATGTCAGAGACGTTCCAGAACTGATTTTGCATCTTCAAAACGGAAATTTACACCTAAACTGATCGGTGTGGTGTGCAAGGGCTAATTTCCGGTTTCCAGTGCTGCCTTTCTAATTTTACACGACCAAGCGCAACATGCAGTGACTTGTTTTCCAGAATTCACTTGAAAAAAAGAAATGCTGTGGCATAACAGGGGTGGTTTAATAGACGAGACTTATTATCAACCACAGTATTTCAGAAAACACATTTCTGTACCTTTTTCGCAGTCACTAAAGAATACTTTATTTATCTAATTTTATGCAAATGCAAAAACAATTTTCGAAAACTCCGTTTGGAGGCACTGCGTTAGAGTTTTAGAAATTTTATTTGATAAAATGTGGCGAACAAAACAGTCACCATGATAAGAAATTCTTTTTAACTAACGGCGTTGCATGTGTGCCTGTTGAAGTAAATACGGTACGCGAAAAGTGTCCAGGAATTATTATTCTTCACCTGTTTTCAGAAACTAGATCTAGTTTCATTTTTTTTTCATTTTTTACACACACACACACAATAAAACACCACAACGATTTGTTGAGCCAGAGCATTATCAAACATCAGTGGTTTCATTTCTACACAAATTGCTGCTGATCCGGGTCACCTGTAATTGGAGTGGGAATAAAACGGGAATGCAACTTTTACCGACACATCAGTGACAGCGTTGTCCTTGGAGTCCTTCCCGGTGCCTTGCTGAATCTATTCAAAACAATTGCTGTTTGCAAAACTTACATGTTCTCATTATTATCTAGCCTGAAAGCAACAGCCTAGTAGGCTTACAGCATTACATTTTTTCCCTGGCGGTACACACGAAGGGGCCTTTCTGTCATTGACACCAAAAGACATCACCAGACATTCGGAATAGTTTTATCTGCTATGAAATTTTCTTAAACCAGGATAGAATAATACAGCGCAGACAAAATAACATAAGATAATAGTAAATTTAAGAAGGTTTAAACAGCCCTGAAATAAAAATCTGTAAATTTTTGTTGCAAGAGGAAGCGATTTAGTAGAATTACCCCTCATAAAATTCCCTTTCTTTTGTCTGCCCTGAATTTAGATTGTGCCGTAAAGTGCAGCAGATTGACGCAGGTTGGAGTTACGTCTTTGAAACAATTTTCTAACTAAATTAAAGGTTTCAGACGAAAATATATCAATATATTTAAATGACCCCTAGGTAAAGTTAAACCACATTTCGATTCAATGTTGCGACTTTGTTGTTTGCATCTACTAGGACTGACTTTTGAGGAATTTCTACAATAAATGCACATGTAAGTCCCAGGTTTTCAGCCTCCTTAAATATTCGTGCTGTTGGTTACATGCGTCAATGCTACATTACAAAATACATATCTGCATTAATCGAAAATCTGCTTCACCAGCTGATGTAATGGCTCGACTCGTCATCTGAATCAATTGCCAGTGATAGAAGACCAAGGCTCAAACATAACAGGAGATAACTTTCGTATTTTCTCAGCTTCCTCAAAGAGGATCAAATAAGGCCAGATGTGCTTTCAGTAATGTATGTCCCAAACACTTTCTGAATTCTTTGGTGTATAAGAAAACCAATAAGCCTTCCATCTACATCGGCAACTTAAAAAAAATTCCACGGAAAAATTAATGACTGGAATCAGTTGGGACGGATGTATTGCACAAACTGATACACCCTACTTAAGTATTAGGAAACTAGCCATTGTGGTCTAGCATCGACCGTATTATGAACAGTGTTAGTTCTAGACAG